GCTTAAGAAATAGATTCGTTGAAGCAACCTAATGACTCTATTCAAATAAAATCTTTTGCACATCTTGTTTTCAAATAAAGCATGTGTTGGAACTCGTAGTCAAGGAATTACCCACTAAGCAAGGCCTTTGTCCATAGGACTCTTCTGTGAAACAAGTACAACACAATCTTTTGAAGAGAATGTCAACTTCTCTCTAGTCCTGTAATTCCTGAGCTTGAGGTGACACCCATCAGTTTCAGAGGAAGGGTTAACACGGTTCTAATTCTGAAATATGCTGAAGATTTCTTTACGGTCAGACTCTCTCACAAGAGCCTAATTAGAACCGAACCATAGCTTGTTATGGTGACAAAACTTGTTTCATCAAGTAAATTGAATTCTATACACATGAACCAGCTAGTTAAAGATCCTAATTATTCTTCAAATACTTTGTTATCATCAAAATCTTAGAGGATAAATGGTATGAACCAAATTTGTCTCAACACCCCAAGGCCATCCCAGGAACCCCAACCTCTAAGTGGGAGGTCATATAAAGCAGTTTCAATAAGTGTTACAAATATCACAAGGTCAAGTGTCATCACATAAATAATTGCCATAAATTGAAAAAATAAAAATATAGGGCCTCATCAAAGATGTGCCTCTAAGGAGATACATTCAAGGCATGCCATATAGATTGGAGAGAGCTCACGACATTCTAAGAGTGATAGGCCTAAAAGTCTTCATCCAAGAAGAGAAAATTAACCGGAATAGACGAATATGCAAACAAACTCGCCATACACTCAATACTATCATCAGAAGTTTTACCAGAAGACCTAACTCATGTTCCTCTCACAAAAGGTATGCTTTCCAAGTTAAGAACATTGTAGATTCTCCCATAAAGCCTCAATTGTTCTCCCCACCCTAGTTTCAATGAGGCATGTATATTCTAGGTTTATTTCCCTTAGCACCTAGGCAGTTAAAGTTCTTGCTTGTAGGCGTAAGATTTAAGACTGAACCAATATAAATCCTTGTGTTTTCTCTATCTTTTTTCTTATATATTTGTGCAATTTACCTTTTTTCACGTAATTATCTCCTTCATCTTATTTCTTAAAACTAACCAACATTAAAATCAATCTTTTTGCAAATATTTTTGAAAAGAAAGTTACACAGTTTACCTCTTTCTCGTGTTTATAGTTTCTTAGTTAACATATGAACTATCTTGACTTTCATGGGATGACATAAGGGAAGTCCCACTGGAAAACCAACAACATCCCCATATTTTTGGGTGCTTGAAAAAGGAGCCTTAATCAGATAAAACAACTAAATTAGAATAATATTTATCTCACCCATATTTCGAATAATGTTGTCATCCTCAATCATTTGAGTCCAGGTCCTGTTAAAATATGATTTCCTTTTCGTCAACAAAAAAGAAGCAACCTTCTGCATACAAAAAGGCATCAAAGCAATGTGACCAAATAACATAATAAAGAAAAAGAGAGAAATAAACATAAAATAATCTACAAAAATGTTCACCAATCTCTAGTTGATTTTCTGGAACATCCATTAAAACCCTAACACTTATGACGTGCAATTACTCCAACAAATTTATTCCATGTTTTTCACCTTTCCTGAGTTTTTTGTAGTCAAAACCCATTATTGATACATGGTCGATCTACCAATAGAGAAGGAACCTTTGAACTTCCTCATCATATAAATTAATAACAGGGCAGCAGAAGGTCCCTTGTACTCTAAAAAAATTGTTCTCCTATTTTTTGTAGTTGAAAGAGTATAAGAAGAACAACCCCTTATTTGAGAAGGATTTAATGGAAATAAAACTCCTTTCTTGTCCCCTTTTTGGTCCTATAAAAGGATACGATACACCTTATAGTAGGTGTAACGCTAAGGCATCCACAAAGGCCCGTCTATTAGGATGAAGTTGCGAGGGTGCAATGTTGATAGTTCTTAGGATGTCAACTTAAAAACGGGTGAAGGGAATATACACTCGTAGATCCGAAAAAATGTAGACGTATATAAATAAGTACTCATCTTCTACCCCTCATTGGTCGCCTCATGTAGGCATTCTCACCCTCATAAAAGGCTATAGCACTACATCTTAGTTTTTTGTGGAGGATATTTTCAAGTTGTACCCACATTCTTATATCTTTGCTTCATTGAAATTAAAATAGTTAACATGCAACTCTTTATTGTAGAAGTATACGAGGCTTGCGTGAATGGATTCCATTGACAATATCATAGGTCACATAAATGAAGAGACTAAAAGAACATAATTTTTGCAACATGAATCACCATTTGAGCTAATGCTATAACTCATATTATTAATCTTGAACATTCCGCTCTCCGCAAATCTCCAATTGACCTTCCTAATTGCTTGTATTGAACTCGTTGTACAATGACTCCACAAATAACATCTTTTGTCATATGTCTTAGGTTTAACCACATTTCCATTTACATTGAAATACAAGTCATAGTCTAAATAGAAAGATATTAAGATGCATGAAAAAAGTACTTGAGGAAACAAGCATCATGGGGAAATTCTAAGTCGAAATAGAGAGTATGTTGAAGGAAGAAACAATAGTGGATTGAACACGTTAAAGCAAAGAAGTGACTGATAGGAAAAAAATTTCCCTAAATGTTTATAAGATAAATGAAACTTAAGTCAAGATTAATGGCAAATTGCCAAACTTTTAGGTTCTAAAGCGTGCTATAAAATGAATATGTATTACTAGTCCTTCTCAATGCATGCAATCATCTCCATCATTAAATGACATATTCAAGGGTTATACAACCCCCGTTTGATTTGAAATCCAAATCATCTAAAATAATTGGGTGACAATGATGAAATTTATCCTTAATCATGCAAGTAACATCATTTTTGGACACAATATCAGCCTTAATCACTTTTCTCTTACATGCCTCATGCTTGAGAAATTATGGACTATTATGTCCACTTTTAACCACTAATCTTTTATGCTTTAGAGATTGTGGACCGTTATGTCATCCTTTAACCAAGTTGACCTATAAGGCCTCGTGCTTGAAGGATTGTGAATTTTTATGTCTTCCTTTAACAACTTCTCTCTTATAGACCTCGTGCTTGAGGGATTACAGACTATTATGTGCTTCTTTAACCACTTCACATTTACATATCTTGTGCTTAAGGGAATGTAGATTGTTATATTAAGATACAATTCCATTGAATATCTACCATCTCAACCCATTTACCTCTTATCTTATAAAATGTATCGTAAGGTCTAAAAAGAGATTTGGTGATGCCACACACGTACCAAATGCATGGGAGAGCTTGCCATACCCCATATATTATAGGAGATGAGTCACTTATCATGTTCCTTACAATGATTGAGAATATCTCTATCATTAACGAGTAGTACTAAATTTCACTGAGTTGGTTATCCACATCTCCTATATTAAAACGAGTCTCCCAACATCCTATCAAATGGGTCAGTGTAAAGTTGTATGTAGGAGATATTATTTAGGTCAAATTATCTCTTACTCACATAACACAAACCTAAAAACTCTTTATTTGATCTATCGTAGGCAGAGTGAGAAACCACACTACCTATATTTTTGAATGTGGCCTAATATTTTCAAAAATAAATAAAAACATAAAAAATATTTTCTTATTAGTTACTTTAATTCTCCAATATAAATCATTATAATTAATTTCTTAATATATATTTTTTATCAATTTATTTCATAAAATTATCATGGAAAAATCATTAAAAATTTGTTTTCAATTTTGGTTCTATCACATTCTACAAAAACATTGTTTCACAAATTCTGCATATCTAATTGCATCTACACGTTTTCTGGGGCCTACAATTTGAATATGTCATATGTACATACTTCCATAGTTCATAGTTCACATTTTTTTTCTTCCTTTTTCAAGTGAGTTGCTTCATTGTCATAACATGAATAACTTTTTGCTGTATTTATTGATTATAAAACAACCAACTCAATCTTATCCATCCTATGACACAGAAACCAACAAACAACATATTCTTACGCCAACAAAAAAAGTAACCATAGGAAGAAAAAACTTAAGCTACTTTCATATTTGTGATGGCACAATATCTCATTAATGACGTGTAAAATATAAACAATTTAATTGAATAAATTATTGATTTTGAATTAAGAGAACAAATTTAATAATTAAAAAAAAATAGAAGGACAGAAATTATAATTAAACCTATTATTTAACATAAAGTAATAAATAATTTATTTAATAAAATTAATTATGTTTCTGTAAATAATAAACTAAATGTTGTGTGAACATAAAAATTTTATATAAACTAATTTTTTGAATAATATTATAAATGATCAATTTTATTAATATAATTTTTTTCTTAAAAAAAAATTGTAAATATCCAACAAAATTGATTATTTTCTTAGACTTGTATAGAAAGTTTCTTCCTTCAAGTAACTTCGTCTAGTCAAATTAATGAGAATATTAACATCTCCTCAACCTAAACTTTTATGTATTAATAAATTAAAATATCCCAATTAATCATATTTAAGCAACATTTTTTTAAATTTTTTAATTGTTGGAGACTTAAAGAGTAATAACAAAAATATAAAAATAAAGTTTCAGAAAACTTCCAACAGAAACTTGCCAGGAAATAATGCTCTTAAACACAAGAAAGAATCAACAATTATTTAATAGTTTCAAAAGCTAGCTTAGGACAACATTAAAGAAAAGAATAACATATATATATATATATATATATATATATATATATATATATATATATATATATATATATATATATATATATATATATATATATATATATATATATATATATATATATATATATATATATATATATATATATATATATATATATATATATATATATATATATATATATATATATATATATATTACTTGTTACAGTTGTACTTATAATGTACTATAAATTCAATCAAATGTAACATTCACCCAAATGAACTTGTCTAAAAAAAGTAGAAAAATTGTGAAATTACAAATGGGTCCTAGCAATTCCACCATGAATATATCATCATCACAAGCAGAACTAGCAAGTTTAAAAAACTTGAGTTCTCCAGTTCCTTACCTCTTTGCTGGCTTAGCTCTAATGTGTGGAGTCATCGCGATAGCATTACTCGTAATCGCGTGTTCTTTTCGTAGATATTCATCTTCTATCTCATCTAATGACGAAGAAAAATCGTCGAATATGCATGTTATGGATGTGGATCAGGTGAGTCCGGAGCCAAAGATTGTGGTGGTAATGCCTGGAGAGAGTAATCCAACTCATTTGGCTAAGCCAGTTTTGTCCATAAGTCATCATGATCAACAAGATCTTTAGAAGTGTTTTGATCTCATCAATATAAAGTGCTTTTTTTTTTATATATAGTTTTTCTTTCTTTATATTCTAGTTAGCTTTGTGAGATGTAAATTATAGATAATGAAATGGAGATATTATTTTGGTATTAGTAGTCTGATCTCAAGGAAATGGTGTCTGTTAAGTCATAATTTGAATTCAGGTTGATTCAAATAATTCATTTTGAACTTAATTTTGTCTTTCATTTCTATCATTTTCTTTTTAAAAATCAGCTGAGAATTGAAGGAGTAATTGATCTGACTTCACTATTGAATCAACCATGTAATTAAACTGATGAGAACTAATGTGAATCTAACAAAATTAGAATAAATCGACGAATTGAAGGTTCTTAAAATCTGAAAAATTAATGTTAGTTCTGAAGGATCTTTATTTTTTAAAAACTTAAAAGGAAGTTGTTATATAATTAATTTTTAAAAAAATTAACAAAACTTATAAAAAATAAAATTTTAAAAATAATGTTTAGAACTCATCTGTTAGATCTTTATCTCTATTCATGAAAAAGACTAAAAGAATACTTTAATATACATGAAAAAAACAAATTAATCTATCATATTTTTGTTGTGTTTTTCTTAGAACTTTTTAGATATTATGTCATCCAATTCAATCTGATTTAATACTTGTATTAATATATTGTTTAGACCAGATTATTAATTGAGGGAGGGGTTGAATATACCTCCTTAAAAATTTGACCTATTAAAAAGTTGTTTATTTTAAAAAGTGAGAATTTGAAAAGTGTTTGCGTAGGGGAAAAATGTGCGTACAATATATGATTTTGGATGGAATACACAACACTCAATATTAATAAATAAAAAATTGGAAGTAAATAAATTAAGCAACCATACTCAATTAATATGGTTTTTATTGAACTACAATCATTTTACACGAGTTGTGTAAACAAATAATTTCAATGCAATAGAAATTCTTGAATTTTTGTTTCATAGTTTAATCAATAACATGAACGATTTGAAGTCTCAATCTAACAAAACATACATTTATAAACAAAAACAAAACCGCTATTAATGCATAAACCTAACTATATGTGATTCTAAAGAAAGTTATAAACCTAAACATGTAACTATGCAGAAAATTAAAAGATAGGGATTGTGAGATAATATTGGATCAAATTCTAGTTTAGCATGTCGTCGAAGTCTACTCACATGTTGTTGTCGAAGATCTATATGCTATAGTCGAAATGTGTTCTAGTATGTAGTTGTCGAATTGTGCCTTGTGTTAAGGATCCAATTGTTTAAGTTAGCTTGTACCCTAAGTTAGCTAGTAATAGGTAATTGTTAAAAGACCCATTAGTTTAGTATGTTAGGTTTTATTATAAATAGCATACTAGTCTCTCATCTTAAGTGTGGAAAATCCTAATTAGAGTGAAAGAGTTATTTGTTATTCTTGAGTACTTGTAATCTGATTGATAGAGAAAGTAAAGAATAATAGTTATAATCAATCCTTGTTGTTTTTCCTTCTTGTTTTCTGTTAATCCTAACCCTTGTGTGTTTCTTGATCATAAAGAAGTCGTTTATACTTTGTTTCAAGACACTGTTTTTCCATAACAAATTGGTGCAATGAGTGTGGAGAAGATGCATTCAACAAAGTATGAGCTTGAAAAGTTCACCGAAATGAACGATTTCAGTCTATGGCGCTTGAAGATGAAAGCCCAACTAGTCCAGCAGAGTTGTTTGGAAGCGTTGAAGGGAGAGGCAGCCATGGACGCTGCGTTAACGGAAAAAAAAAAGACGACCATGATAGAGAAAGCCCACATCGCAATATTGTTGAGCTTTGGTGATAAGGTTCTCCGTCAGGTATCAAAGGAGACTACGACATCGGGGTTATGGTTAAAACTTGAAAGTTTGTACATGACAAAATCTCTGGTGAATCGACTCTACCTGAAGTAAGCTTTATATTCATTCATGATGAGTGAAGACAAAGTGTTGGCTGAGCATTTAGACATGTTCAACAAGTTGATTCTTGATCTTGAAAATATTAATGTGAAGATCGATGATAAAGATCAAGCACTGTTGTTGTTGTGCACTTTGCCTAGAACACATGCTCACTTTAAACAAACTCTCATGTATGGAAGGGAGTCCCTGAGCTTTGAAGAAGTTCAATCAGCCTTGTATTCTAAGGACTTGAACGAACAAAAGAAGCATAAACCTTCGACGGTTGGTGAAGGTTTCATCGTTAGGGGAAAATCCTTGCGAAAGGATGGTAAGTTTGACAAGAAGAAAGGTAAAAGTCAGCAGAAGTCTTATAGTGGCGAGGCATTTGGTATTCGATGTTATCACTGTAAGAAGAAGGGTCACACAAGAAAGGTATGTCCTAAACGTTTGAAAGATCATAGAGGTAAGGATAATGGCAATGCAACCATTGTTCAAGGTGACTTTGACTCATCTTATGTCCTTGTGGTTTCAAGCAGCGACTCAAGAAAAGAGTGGATTATGGATTCAGGTTGCACTTGGCACATGACTCCAAACAGAGAACTGTTTGAGGAGCTATGTGATCAAGATGGTGGATCAGTGATGCTGGGATACAAAAAAGCTTGCAAAATTGCAGGTATTGGACCAGTGAGATTCAAGCTCCATGATGAGTCAATAAGGTTATTGACTAAAGTCAGGTATGTATATGATTTGAAGAGAAATCTGATTTCTCTTGGTGAATTCAACAAGAAGGGATTTTTTTTTAAAGAGAGAAAAGCATCATGAGAGTCATGAAGGGGTCGAAGGAAGTCTTGAGAGGCATGAAGAAATAAGGCTTGTATACCCTTGAGGTTGAAGTTGTAAGTGGTTCAACAAATGTTGCATCCATGAAACCTTTGTCGAAGACACATATTTGGCACATGAGATTGGACCGTGTTTGTGAAAGAGGTCTGGTCAAATTAGGGAAACAAAATCTGCTTGGTGGAGACAAAATCGAAAAGCTGAAATTTTGCGAACCCTATGTACTTGGAAAATCTTGCAGAGTGAAGTTCAATAAAGGAAAACAAAGAACACATGGATCCCTTGATTACATCCATGATGATCTTTGGGGGCCTACAAGGTGTCCATCACATTCAGGCACAAGGTAGTTTCTATCCATAGTTGATGATTATACCATAAAGTTATAGGTATTCATCTAAAAGACTAAGGATGAAACTTTTGAGAATTTCAAAGGTTGGAAGACTCTGGTCGAAAATCAGACTTGCAGAAAGGTTAAGAGGTTGAGAATCGACAATGACCTTGAATTTTGCAATGAGGCATTCGACAGATTTTGTACTGCCTCAGGTATTTAAAGGCCCAAAACTACAGTAGGTATTCTACAACAAAATGGTTTGGCGAAAAGGTTTAATTGAACTATTTTGGAAAGAGTTAGATGCATGTTGACTAGTGTTAGATTAAAGAAGGTGTTTGGTCGGGAAAACAACATATCTGATAAACAGATGTCCTTCGATTGCGTTCCACATGAAGACACCTGAAGAAGTTTGGTCGGGACATCCACCTAGTCTCAACAGACTGAGAGTATTTGGCTACTTGGTCTATGCTCACATTAGGCAAGACAAGGTCGATCCTAGAGCTCTGGAATTCATGTTCATGGGATACCCTGAAGGAGTCAAAGCTTATATGTTATGGTTCCTAGAGCTAGGTCACAGAAGGTGTATCACCAGACGAGATGTAGTTTTCAATGAAGCTAAGACGACTTTCAAGAAAACTGATGATGTCGACAAAGATCAGCTAAATTAGGGAAAAATTCCTATCGAGGTGGAGCATGTTGATGTTGAATTGCGTATTCCATATGAAGTCGAAGAAGAAGTAGAAGTTGCTGTCAACGAGGAGGAGACTGATAATGACTACTTACTAGCAAGGGATAGGTCAAGGAGAGTCATCAAGCCACCTCAGAGACTTGGGTATGCATATCTTATATCTTATTCCTTAATCTCTGCAAGTGAGGTTCAAGACGAAGAACGTAGAGACTATAAAGAAGCTATAAGGATTCAAAATAAGACTGAATGGATAAAGGCCATGAATGATAAGATGAAATCTCTTCATGATAACAACACCTAGGAACTGATTAAAAAACCTGCTAGAGCCAGGTTAGTCAGCTGTAAATGGATTTTCAAAGTTAAGGAAGGAATCAAAGGAATGGTGTCGAAAAGATACAAGGCAAGGTTGGTCACTAGGGGGTTCACTCAGAAAGAAGTTGTCGACTTCAATGATGTGTTCTCTTCTATTGTGAAGCACATGTCCATTCGAATGTTGCTTGCCACAGTTCACAGTTTGACCTTGAACTATAATAGATGGATGTGAAGACTACGTTCTTGTATGGTAATCTAGATGAAACAATCTTGATGAGGCAACCTGAAGGGTATGTCAAAAAGGGGAAGGAAGATTATGTGTGTAAGTTGAAGAGATCTTTATATGGACTGAAACAATCTCCTCAGCAGTGGAATAAGAGATTTGACAAGTTCATGGCACACATAAGTTTCATTAGAAGTTAGTTCAACCATTGTGTTTACTTCAGATTTTGACCTAGTAATTCATTTGTTATTTTGTTGTTGTATGTGGATGATATTCTAATAGCAAGAAATAATGTCGAAGATGTAATGAGGATGAAGGATGAAATCAATAAGGAGTTCGACATGAAGAATCTGGGAGTTGTGTCAAGGATTCTTGGGATTGACATCCGAATATGGGTCTTTCAGGACAGCTTGTCAGGTCCTTCTCTAGGGTGGTATATGGGTCTGGAAAGTACACATATAAGAAATTGGAGAGAATTGGGGGAAGCGTTTGTGCGTCACTATCAGTATAACAGTGACTTGGCACCGAATAGGGTGCAATTGCAAAATCTGTCACAGAGGAACAACGAGGGGTTCAAAGAGTACGCCTAGAGGTGGCGAGAGTTAACAGCTATGGTGCAACCTCCGATGGTGGAGCGGGATCCGATTGATATGTTCATGGTGACCTTTCCAGGAACATATTATGAAA